ACTTTCGTATGTGGGTAGAAACAAACGCGTAAAAATTTTGTGCCGATTTTCATTCTAATTCGAATAAACACGACTAAAAAAATCCACTGATTGGGTATTCATTTCTTACGGTTTCTATTTATCTATCATTATTCAAGTGGCTGGGAAAGAAATCAATCATTATGAAAGTCGAGTTTCCTTACTTATTTTTCTACGTGTGGCTCTCAATTTTATAGAATTGAAAGGAGAAGTTGAAGAGTTTATGCTGAAATTTGCTGTTTTTTAAATTTTAGTTTCTACTGAAAATGGAGCTTCGTTTATTAGTTTTTGATTGCAATTATTCAAATGCTGCATGACGCAGAAAATTGACGAGGTTTGCGGTCGGACTATTGACGAAGACATTTTTTAAAATAGTGCATTCATTTGAGGGACCGTGAATTTTTTTTCAGGACCATGTTTTGTGTCATAATTTTGAAGGATTTTTACCAAAATGTGCTCAATTTGAAGAAAAAAAAACAGATTGACTCAAGCAATCAACTGAAAGAAAACTTAACATTCCAAAGCAAGGTCATGCCAATTCTCGTAAAGCAGATGCTGAAATCATTTGCAATTTAAATTGCACGAGAACTCACTCGTCGGGGATAAAAAAAAAAAACTTGCATGGGTCAACTGAGTCGGTATGTCCTGCGAGGAATAATATAAAGTATTTGCATCGCGTTCGTGAGTGCTGATTTGAAGATACTCTATACAAACTTCATAAAGCTTTTTTTTTTTTTTAGGCTTTTTTTTAGTGTTTCGACAAGATTTGTTTGATACATTGAGGAAGTGAGATTGCAACGAGCTATCAAGATGAAATTTATTCTTGAGACTCACTGATTCAGTGTTGTGCCAAGGTGAAAGTATACAGAATTATGCAAAGGTTCGTCTTTTCCTTGATCATGATTTCCACGTTTATTTCTGTGTTCTATCAATATTTAGTGGTGTGACAATTTTTTCGGAATTTGACGAAATGGCGAAAGAAGAAAGATCGTAATTTTTTTCAGATTCTTGAAGCTGAAGTTTAATATGGGGAACTAATTTAAATTGCGGTAGGTTCATGAGATGAAAAAAATGATAATTTGATGAAATCAGTCATAGCGTATCAGAGGAATAATAGACTGTTCGGCAAGAAAAGTTTCTTCATGGTCAAGTGTTCGAGCGTTATTCACGCCAATCCATAAAAATGTAGCGAAGGGTTCTTCAATTATCCTCGGTATAAATTTCAGATAAACTGAGATAAATTGTGAGAACTTGAAAAAAAATAAACAGATTGCCCGAAAAAAGGCCTCTTGCATTTCCGCAGCTGGTGTATTCTGAGTTCCGGATCGAATCTCGGTTTTAACCCAGCTTCGACCGTATTTTCATTTTGGTGAATGACTGGAAAATTTATGGACTGACTCTGTTTTGCTATTCTGGAAACCACGGTGACTCAAGCAGCCGGCATATATAGTTGCTGAAGTGAAAAACCGTTGGGATTCCCCGCTTCTTTTTTTATTTTGCCAGTCATTTTTTTTATTCAGGATATAACTGCGTTTCTTCCCATATGGCATTTTCCTGTAGAAAATCCCTCCGGTGCTCATGCCTTCAGGGAGCCCATCTGTTCTCCCCTTCTCGCCACCAGATGGTTCGGCAAAGATTCTCTTCTGTCGAGATTTTTTTTTTCTTTCCCGCCCTTTAAAAAGAGAGTCGTGTTTCAAGGGGAAAGAGATGGTAGAGCTTTAATTGTTTCTCAGATGATGGTTGTGAAATATAAGCAATGCAATTTTGTATGGAGACAGCGGGAAGAGTTCTTTGACCCTGTTACGGAGCACGCTTATTATTACAGTATTATTACTTTTTCTTATTCGGGAAATTTTGCTTCGGGCAAACGTTGAACTTTCGTCGATTTTTCCATCAACTGTGTTGTGATGGAAATAATTTGTATTTCAAGATTCCATCCCTGGAAAAGAAGCTAAGCTTCCTTAGCGTTTTGGTGAAATTTAAGGACATGAAAAATTGCATATACTGTATTCCCGAGAATTTCTTGGATTCATTTTTTTTTGCAAGTCATCCAAGCACTTAAAAATACTGTTTAAATTATTAAGTTCGACTTTTTCTGGACTACTTCAAGGGATGGTCCTCGTTTGAATGCATTGAAAAGCTTCTTCTGGAATTTTCTCACTCGGAAAATATTTCATTATCAGCGATAGCGCGTTTGTGTATGAGAATATAAAACACTCTGTATTTTCAATCACGTCTTAAAATGAAGTAGGTTTCATTAAACGGATATGTTTTGTATAAATGTACATGCGAATGTAAAAAAGGAGCATTTGATGTGAATTTTGAATACAATTAGGGAAGATCTGGAGGTGAATTGGGTGGTTTTGTAAAATCTTCAAGCTACGTTGGTTTAAACAGGAGTCAATGAGAGAATTAGGACGAAGAGGAAATTATTTTTAAAGTTTTTTTTTTGTATGCTATAAAAGATGTTTTATTGACATCATAGAACGTCATCGTGAGGAAATAATCGATGCTTGTTTTCAGGGCTAGTAAGAAAATTTGTAATGCTAAGAATTATTTGATTATTGATTATTTTCTTCTTTTTATTCAATTCAGAAAATGCAATAGGTTCTTTTTTTGTGGTGGTTATGTGTTGCACAAGAATTTACAATGTTGAAATTAATGTGATGTTCTGGTCTTTTGTTTCGCTGGTGTACAGGCGACATCTGGGCAAGCTGATTCGATTGCCGGCGACAGTTTGGCCTTGCCGCCCCGCCAGTCATTCCGCCGCCTGGACCAGCAACTGCTCAAGAAACCCTCCCCGCCGCCTTTTTCCAGAGTCCTCGGCTCCCACACACTACCCAGCAATCTTCCTGCCATCCTCACCTCCGGGTTAGTCGATTTAGTCTGGCCATTTTCGACCTTTAAAAAAAGAATTAACGTGTCCCGAAGCTCGTGACCCATTTTTATGGGTTACGCCAATCTCTGTTCAACATCTTGAGGGACGAGAATAAAGGAGGGCCGACGAAAATGTGCGCCCTACTTCATGATATCATCATAATTTTTATTGATACCATTTTTGCATAAGTTAAACCTCAATAAGTCAAACCTTCCGACTTCGAATGTTTCCCCATCTCGACGTTTTTTAAACATTTATTCCCATTCCCTTGGGGGGAAAAAAAAGTAATTGAAAACCTCCCAAAATACAAAGGTTTCCCTCAAACCTATCCAGAACTCGGATTTTCTGGGTTGGGGCTTTTTGGCTATTACACTAATTATTTTTTGACGCAGGAAAGAGCAATAAAAATGTAACTTGATGCGTTTTGAAAGGAATCGAATAAGATCAATTGGACAAATGAAACCATGCCCTCAAGTTCAATACCCTATCACCTCATTTAAGAAGCAATTCAAGGCCCAGAATATTACCAACTGCAATTCCCCATGATTCATCTTTCTTTCCCGCAACAAAAATTGCTGGTTCCCCAAGTCGAATGTTGTATAATTTTTTTTTTTGGCTCCTTGAGATTTGTCTTGCTGAGGTTTTACTGGAATTACGGCATTCTTTGATTGATGGACTGCCTAAAAATTGGATTCTCACTCACATACCTCGAAAACCTTCGGGGTTAACATTGTTGAAAGGAAATTCTAAAAGTTTATTAAAAATCATCATTAATCTCTCTTTAGAATGCTGACACACCCAATATGGTTAATTTTTGGTTAAGAGTTCTTGAAGAAGAAGATTTGTACTGTACACGTTTTTCCGTGAATAATGCCGGTATTATGGCTCTTCCGTAGCGACGAAAAGCGCGCCTCGCTGTTGTCGCGCCACCGAGAGATCCGCCAATCGCGGCGGTCACTCGGCGCCGCCACTGCCGCCGCCGCCGCAGCAGCCGGGGCTGGACCACCGACAGCGTCTCAGCTGCCGCCGCATCATCATCACCACCATCATCACCACGACTACATGTATTCGCCGCTGCCGCCGACGTCGGCGCCGTCCGCTGCGTCCTTCTACGGCGGCGAGGACGCCGCTTCGGGTCTGGGTCACGAGGTTGACCTCGACCTCAACTCCAGCGCCTCGTCGGGCTACAGGAAGCGCTTTGCCAAGTCCTTGTGCTCTGTGCTGCTCGTCGCTGCTGTTTTGCTCGTTATCTTCGCCGTGCTCGGCATCGTCGCCGTGGCCGTTTATTTGGGAAGTGAGTGTGGAGAATTTTCGGAGACATTAATAACTGAATTAATTTTGCAAGCCAGCCAAGTCAAAGTCCCATCCTCGGAAAAATGGAAAGATCATCATCGTGTTATCCTATAGAACCTATAGCTAATTCAAATCTCTTCTAATAGAAAACATTTCTTTTTCTGTGCTGAATTTCCTGGCGATTTCCCCCTCGAGTGTCTGATGGAGGCCCTGACGCCATTATTCTGAAGACCCAGGAAATCGAAAAAAAGATTTATAACTTGATGATTTACTTCGAAAGCATCAATAAGAAGGAAGTGACCAATCAGGCTAATATATGCCCTTGCCTCCAAGTTCAGCATCTTTTGTCAATGACCTTTGCAGTTTATTCCCCAGAAGATCAGCTATTTTTTTTTTCTTGTGATTTCTAATTTTAGCTCAAGCAAAAAGGCTGGTTTCCCGAACTTGAAAAAACTCCCTTAGTTGATTTTTTTTCATGATCCCTCTGAACTTCGCTTGAAGTTGTTTAGCTTTTATTGGGGTGTCCGTGGGTTTTAGAATTTTAATGCAAATCGAGTTTTTGTTTCCTTGATATCACTGAAAAGGATATTTTTCCGTCATTGAAAAGTCTTTCCGCGAATGGAAAATATGTCTACCCTTTCAGATTTAAAAAATACAAAATACGCGAAACAAATCTTCAATAGCCTTCCATGTCAAATAGCGAAGGACTCGGAAAATGCATTGGAATTATCATACGAAACAAATCTTTGAAACTGGCGGATATTGAATTTGAAAGGTATGATTTTCCACTGACTATAAGGGGTAATGGGAACCAAACCGTTTTAGTATTGGAAAATAAAATCCCGATTTTTTTTCGAAACTTATGGACCGTCTCAAAAGTACTCATTTTGCTGTAAAATGGGTTTCTTGGAAGTTATGTCATTCCATCATCAAGGTCTTTATAGAAATTTGAATTGTTCGTGATCTCACGCAGAGTGGAGAAGAAAAAATAGGTTTTCTTTTAAAGTACAGTTGTGTATTGTAATAATTTTGAAAGTAATGGCAATTTCAGAATTTATGCTATGACTAATTCAAGTTCAGTTCATTTTCTTCCTAATTTTTGTGGTGCACTCGCGAGTAAATTTTAAAAGCAACTTTGCATGAAAATGAAGCTTGTACACACAAACCTACCAACTCATTTAGTTTTCTGGATTCCTCAGAACCTGCTCAGAACAGAGTTTAAATCTTGAAAAATGGTAAGGTTTTGGCAAGGAAGAAATTTCTCAAAACTGTGTAATACATCCTTGTAATTCAGAGACAATTTTAAATTTGGTACAAACAATTTTATTTGTTTGACTGCATCAAGAAACAGCACTTGAGTGTCTGCTACCAATTTATATTGGGGACAGACGTCACCACAATATAAGCTGATGTTAAGTGTTGAGGAACGCAATGAAATGCAACAATCAGTCTGGGACAGGACCAGGAATTCATAGTTTAACAGGATAAATGTATTTCACAGGGTAAATTGATAAATGACTCAGCAAACTGTTCTTGACACTTGCAGCTAAGGATGAGTTGGATAATGAATAACTCAAATTAACTAATTAACTAATGATGATGATCTGATCTAGATGAGCTGCTTATGTACTCAGAAATATATTTAACCTTCAATAGTTTAAACAACTTTAATAGCTCAGGAATTATATAGTCAAGGATGCTGTGGACACTGCAATTTTGAGGAGGGGACATGATTTTCTATTTCCAAGAATTTATATTATTTATTATTGTGTGGCGTGCTTGCCCAACAGAAGGCCGCAATGCCAAGATTAATTAACTTCCCTAAGGGATGAATCCATCACTAAAAACATGCATGGAAATGAACTCTGAGGGAATACACAAGCTTCTGATTCAGAATACTCTGAATCCCTGTTGATGAATTGCAATAAATCCAAGGATTTCATAAGTAAGTAGACTGACTGACTTTTTAATCTTTGATGAACATTTTGGGGCAACCTTCACACTTCAAAACCTTACAACAAAAATTTACGTACATTTCAAATTTGAGACGTGGACGCGAAGAATTTTTTTTTGCCATTTCAAGAACGGAAAATTATTATGTTCTGCGTTTTTCTCTTTTTTTTTCCAGTGCTGACCAACGATCCGGAATTCGAAAAATGTGAGTTGGTGCCCGTATAGTCAATTTCCTTTGTCCTTGATTCGGAGTTGTCTGACGCTGTATGTCTTGTCATTTCATTTCATTTCCAAGATATGGCTCAGTTTCAAGGTGGCTTCAACGTGATTGGCGGAGACAGGTACGGGCAAAACTTGTCCAGCTTCGAGTCCGAAGAGTTCAGACGGAAATCGGAATTTTATCGGAGTTTGGTGAGTTATTTCATCATTTGTCCGGTGTATTACGGTACTTGGAATTTATTGCCGATTTTCTGTCGATCAATTCATCATTGTCCCGCGTATTTACCGTTACGTTAATGTTCAATCATTAAATGCGTCAAGAGATATTTTTGAGAGACACAAACAGAAGTATAACATTTACCAAAAAAAGTTATTCTGCATGGTATAGCCACCTTGAGATTGTTATGTTGGAAAAATATAACTTCTGTGTATAATTTCGTTTAGAGCTGAACCGAATGGATTTCTTAATTTTTGAATTGTTTGCAACTGTGCTGCCTCATATGTACGCAAACGAATTTTTTTTCAGATCCCCTCAGAATCCCCTTAGAAACAATATACAAAAAACCTCTCTAACTCAAAGGGCTTTTCCCCTCAAACCTCTTCAAGTCGAATTTTCTGTGGCCTGTTGGATATGATTTTCTTGACACAAGAAATATAAAAGCAGTACAATACAAAATTGATGCTTCTGAAAAGGAAGTGAAAGACTTAATTGGGCAAATGAACCCCTGCCTACAAGTTCAGCATCCTTTCAAATCATTTAAGAAGCCATTTAAGCCCCAGAATATCACCATTTACAATTTTAGGCTATTTTTCCATGTTTCATAGATTTAAAGAGCTATGTGTTGCAGCTCAAACCTCTATAATTCCAAACCTCCCCTGGTCGAAACATTACTTTCCCGTTATCTCAGTACCTCATTCCGGGACCGCACTTAAATCCAGACAAATCTTTAGGAGGAGTTCATAATCACGACAACCTACCAGAAACTGTGAATTTTATTTTTCCGCATTCTGCTGAAACTGATTTTGGGAGGCGGTTAGGTAAAGTTAGGTTAGGTCAGGTTATGTTAATTAAAAGATATTTGTAACTATATAATCTGACCTAACCTAACTTTACCTAACGGCCTCCCAAAATCAGTTTCAGCAGAAACCCAAAGAAAGCAGAAACTGATTTTGGGAGGTGGTTAGGTGAAGTTAGGTTAGGTCAGGTTACATTGGTCAGAGGGAAGGTACAGAGAAAACAGGAAAGTAGGTACTGAGGTACTGAGATAACAGGAAAGTACTGTCAAAACCTCCCTAAGTTGAATTTTTTGCTGGTCCTTTGAAATTTGACTTTTTGTGTTAGGTAACAAGTACTGAAGTGACGGAGTAATGAACCTTTTATAGCATAACTTTTCATTGATTTCGAAGCACTTGATTCTGTGATTGCAAATAAACTGGCCACAAATTCAACGCGAAATAAATTATTTTGTATATTTTTGATGAGATGTTGAGGAATATAGGTGAAGCAAAAATTCTGGAGAAGTCCCGACTTTGTAAAGTAATGCATTCTCACTTTAGAATATTAAACACATGTTCCAAATTGGATACAGGGTGTGTAATACAGTACTTTATAAATTTCATAATAAATCCCTAGCCCATTTTTGAATGGGTTAGAGTTCTTTGGGTCATTTTTTGAATGCACCCCCGCTTTTCCCCCTCTTATCGAGCTCCGCTTATTTCATGAGAGTCTGAAAAAATATGTTTAATATGTTTGTCCAGCTTTTCTTGTTTGGGAGTCAAGCAATTATGGCCTGAATTGCTCACCTTGCGAAAAATAAAATTTCCTCTGGGTTCTCATTCAATTCCCATGTCTTGAACCCCCCTTTGGGTATTTTTTTTTAATATTCGTGTTACGTGTGGACAGTACTGTACATCGTTCTTACTCGGTTGTATTGTTGATTTCTCTCTCTCTCTCATGTGTACAGTACTTTTAATATTAACTGATGCTTCAAAAAATAGTATACTACTTTTTACTGCAATATTCTGTAATTGTACTTCTTCCTTCCTCATTTAGCTCAAGTAAAATTACCCAAGTAGTTAAAGCATGATCCGACTCAAATTTACGAAATTTTGTGAAATTCAGGCGAACCCATGTAGCAGTTGAGAAAATTCTCAAGTCGTGGAAGCGGAAGTGAAAAGAACCTGTTCATTTTCCAAACGCCTGTTGATAGGCAATATATCTTTTAGCAGGAGGCAAATTTATCGTATCCTGGTCCCTTCAAGGCTCTTTGTTCGATGGAATTTAACTGTGAACATTGCTTCTTGATGGTGAAGAACTGCGATGTTTCTGCAGGCGATGACACATTTTTTTCCTTGCGCTGGGAAAACAAGTACTGAAGCGGCGGAGTTATGAACCTGTTTTTTTTTAAATATATATAACTTTTATTTTTCGTTTGAAGGATTGAAGAAATCGTTTCCTGTCCGTGATTGCGAAGAAATTAGCCAGGGAACCAAAAGACGAAATTGTTAATATTGGGCACTTTTGAAGAGATGTTGATGAGGAGTCCCGTGGACGGAAAAATTCTGGAAAAACGCCGTTTTTTGTTGTTGTTGTAACAGTAGATAATCGGTCTCAAACTAGTCGTAACGGTCTTGGAAAAAATTGGTACTGCGGGAAGAATCTGGTTCTGCTTGAAAATTGGTTAACGGAAACGATTAACTCTTGAGTTTCCCTGGAATTTTTTTTCTCTTGCTCTCGTGTTGATCATTAGATCATCTTCTTTTTTTGCTTTCGTGGTTCCGATCGGGATTTTTATTTAATTTTGAGGAATATATTTTTAAATGTATTACTGTATTTATTTTTTTTGTTTACAGTTATCGGAGGTCTTTAAATCGAGCGTGCTGGGAGCTGGATTTCATCACGTGAAAGTTGAAGGGTTTCGGAATGGGACCGACCACTTTCGGGTGTTCTTCAAAGTTCATTTAGATCGCCGGAAAATTTCGCAGTAAGTTCGTGTTTTGTGCCATTTTTATTTTTTGTGTATCGCTTCGAGAAACAAAATTGTCCTTGTGCGGAAAATAGTTGAAATTGCGTATGTGTGGCGTCGAGCAATAGTTTTTAAACTACGCCTCTTGTGTTCCTCGGAAATTTTGATACAGTATTTTTGGTACTTCCCTGTTATTTCAGTACCTCATTCCTAGACCGCACTACCATCCAGACAATTCTTTGGGACAAGTTCATAATCACGACGACCTACCAGAAACTGTGAATTTTATTTTTCTGCATTCTGCTGAAACTGATTTTGGGAGGCCGTTAGGTAAAGTTAGGCTAGGTCAGGTTATGTGAGTTACAAATATCTTTTAACTAACATAACCTGACCTAGCCTAACTTTACTTATAACAGGAAAGTAGGTACTGAGATAACAGGAAAGTAGGTACTGAGATAACAGGAAAGTAGGTACTGAGATAACAGGAAAGTAGGTACTGAGATAACAGGAGAGTACCGTATTTTTTGGCATGCGTTCAACTCCAAGATTTGTAATACCCAGAAAATGCTAGCCTCCATACAGCACAGTACCCTTTTGGCCACTATACTGATATGCTGAATTGTTACTTGGGTCCCATGGGATCCAATTTTGTTTGTTTGAAAGAGTTGAAGAAGATGTGGAGTATATCGTTTTTTTCAACCTTCATTTTTTCTTTCAAATCTTCATATTGTTCTTTTTTTATGTTTTCCTTTATAGTGCGATTGACGATCTTACGAAAGCAGTGCACGAAGTCATCTCACAAGAGGTTATGTCTCTAAAGCCGATCGCATTCAAGGACATAGCGATTGATATCGATTCAATCCTGGTGGAACGTAAGTCATTTCTCGCGCTACACCCGCAAATTTTTGAGCCCCAGTCATTTTTCTGCCATATTTCTTCTTCTTCCGTTGTGGACTCGAAGCGCCGAGCCTGACGCGATATAACCTTGCAGATCACAATCTGCGAGAATAATCAGCATGGAATGATGGACTCTCAAAGCCGTAGGATATTTTTCATTGTCCGACGTAAAAATATGCAGGATGTCGAAAAATATTCGGAGCTGCCTTGACCGTCATGATGGGATGTTCAGCTGCAGTAAAATTCCGTTACAACGATTTTTTCCATTATAAATAATTTTTCCGTGATCCCAGAAGTTTCCTCATAGTTACAATGTTGGAATAATCTTATCTTTACGAGCTCATTTTTAGCTGAAACCTAATTAAAACGAATTTTCGGCCCTGATTCTATGAGTGGACAATTAGAATTACTGTATTTCATCATGTAAAGAAAAACGAAAAAAAACCTGACTCATTTTGAATCAGAGCTTTTTTAAGAGGAAATATTGTATACCAAAACATATCCTGCATGACGTTTCTCTCATGATTTAATCAGGTTCTTTAGCAAATTCTGCAATGGCTTTTTTTTTTAGATGAACAATGTATGACTTGAAGAATTAAACTCTTATTCAAAGAACAAATGGGTTTGATTGAATAAATTATTTTGGAATGAGGTCTTTCTTATACCCAACTTTTTTATAAATTATTTTTACTCGAAGTGCCGAGCCTGACGCGATATAACCTTGCGGATCACAATCTGCAAGAATAATCAGCATGGAATGATGGACTCTCAAAGCCGTAGGATATTTTTCATTGTCCGACGTAAAAATATGCAGGATGTCGAAAAATATTCGGAGCTGCCTTGACCGTCATGATGGGATGTTCAGCTGTAGTAAAATTCCGTTACAACGATTTTTTCATTATAAAGATTTTTTCCGTGATCCCAGAAGTTTCCTCATAGTTACAATGTTGGAATAATCTTATCTTTACGAGCTCATTTTTAGCTGAAACCTAATTAAAACGAATTTTCGGCCCTGATTCTATGAATGGACAATTAGAATTACTGTATTTCATCATGTAAAGAAAAACGGAAAAAAACCTGACTCATTTTGAATCAGAGCTTTTTTAAGAGGAAATATTGTATACCAAAATATATCCTGCATGACGTTTGTCTCATGATTTAATCAGGTTCTTTAGCAAATTCTGCAATGGCTTTTTTTTAGATGAACAATGTATGACTTGAAGAATTAAACTCTTATTCAAAGAACAAATGGGTTTGATTGAATAAATTATTTTGGAATGAGGTCTTTCTTATACCCAACTTTTTTATAAATTATTTTTCAAGATCAGCAGATTATTAGAATAATTGACGGAAAGCAGGTTCAAAATAAGAAGAGTTTATCAAAAAGAGGTAGAAATCATAATAAGTTCCCTTTACGTATTTTTCAAAAGCACTTCACCATTTTAGTTTCACCCAATTATCCAAAATTTTACCCGCATTAAATGTATAAAAAAACCATGCATTTTGATGAAACTAATTTTTTCTGTTATGGTAGATTTTTAAAAGGTCCCTACTGTGCCTTTGTTGTAATGATATTGCACTGTAAAAATGAAAGTTGGGGTTTTCGTGAGCAGTTTTGAATTAATTTCGCGATTTTACCACAAAAACTGTAGTTTGCTGGATTTGTTTTGTGTGTTGATTCGGCGATCTAATCAAAGAGGGGAGTGCTTCTCGTTGCCAGAGCAGGCTGAATTGTTTTGCGCGGTACAGTATTTTCTACTGTTGAAAAAGATAATGAATCAATTATTTGAATAATTGCAGGTATCCGCAGACGAAGTGACGAGTTGGCGCCGCCGGAAAATGACCCGGACAACGGCATTTTCCAGAAGGTCATCGCTGGCCCGCCGTCGTCCAACGTGCTCATCACCAAGAAGCTCTCGTCTTCATCCAGCTCCAGCATCCTGCCATCGGAACGCGAATCCAATGACAACGACCTGTTACTCGACTCGGTTTTGATCGGCAGCGCGTTTCCGCCGCCGCTTCAGCCGCCGCCGCCAGCGCTGCTGGTGCCGTCGCGGTCCTCATCGTCCTCTTCTGCTTCTTCTTCCTCCTCCTCACCACCGCCGCGGAAATCTGTGGCCGCCTCGGGCTCGACACGAGGTGGTGGAGGCAAGATTGTCGTGCAGCCGACGACTTACGCGCCGCCGATTATAGCTGCCAGTGGTTGGACCCCGCCGCCGTCGCACCTGGAGTCGGGGTTCCATCCGTCGCTGTACTTCCCGAGGCCGCCGTTTCGGGGACAGATCCCGCCCAAGACTATTGCTAACCGCCACGACGATTCCAAAGTGCGTTCCTATTCTTTTAATTTATCATTTTTTTTTCTTGGGCATTATTGAGTATCTGGCTTACATTTGTGCAAATGCATGACGCACGTGTTTTTTTCCCCAAAAAAAGTGGGACTTGCAAAATTAAGGTCGCCGGCTTCTTTTTCATTGAACCATTCGCGGTACAAGGTGGACTCTTTCTATAACAAAATTCCAGGGTACAGCAGAATAGCATTTGTTGCAGAGTTATGGAGAATGTCTATAAAATGGGGAGAGTTTGCTGTAAAAAATCGTTACATAGAGAAAATTGTTGTAGACAAGATCGGTTTAGAGAGAGTTCACTGGTAAAATAGGTGATGACGGGAACCAAAGGCGAGTACCTCCATCACTTCGGTCATTTGAGAAAATAACAAGCCTGTATGTAAGTTAGGCTTATTTTAATTCAAGTGGGTGAAGTTTGATCGCGTTGAATAAGAGACGTAGCCTTGGATGGCAGAAATAAACTCATCAAATATTAAAGGCATCTGTTTAGGTCACGCAGACACCCATTTATTTCTTGAAATATACTGTATGCGTTTTTTTTTTCTCTGTCTACTTCAATCAGCTTCATTTTTCTGCTAAATCTATATCCTCAAGCTGATTTGCAAAAATGGGGACTTGAGAAATGAATTGGAGTATTATACTCACAAGGTTATTGGAAAAGGAGTGGGTATTTGATATATGAAAAAGTAATTACAATATTTTAGCCATTTCTCTGTTCAGCGCAAAAGAACCATGAAAACAACAGAAAAAGAAAAAGTGAAGAATCAAGAAGGAATACGGTAATATTCAGGAAAATCTGGTGTCGAGAGTACATTTGAAATCATTATGGCAAACAAGTTCAAGATCCCAAGCCAAACCAAGGTATTCCACCCGACAATAAATCAGAAGAAAAAATAGAAACGCGGAAGACATTTCCGCGTTAATTTTTTGGCAGGTTGAAATTGCGAGGGAGAGAAAGAAAAAATAAGACGCAAGAAAAAAATCTGACATCGAGTATATATACAATACAGTACTGTATTTGAATACTGTTTTTAAAAATGTGTTCAAGGTGCAAATGATACCCAACCGGGATATTCCACTCGCCGTTCGACCTCTGGACGCTGTTGTTAAACCCGGTGCAAATTACGCTTCCGGCTTTTTGCACGACTCTTCCGGCACCAATAAGGCGACAACGGCCACTAAGTTGCTCAATTTCCGCCCACCAAATATTCCTGTCACTCCGCAAGCTCCGTCGACCAAAGTTCCGAGGTAAATATTTCGGATTTCGATGGAAATCGATCAATGCTGCGTTGGTTTTGAAGGGATACGCGTTTGCGCCTGTTCAAGCTTCCAAAGGAAAAAATTAATAAATTAGTGAAGGCACTTCTTGACATTCGACGTTTAAATAATTTATGGCTCAATTTTGTCCTTGCTAGCTTTTGATGGCTGGTTGCAAGGGTGTGTTTTCAAAAATTATCAGGCTGATTGAAAAACTGGAAATTATCGTCAGAATTGCTGATATTAAAAAATCATTTTTACAAAAGCCACGATATTTAGGGTTGGGTTGTTACCTTCCAATTTGATAGCAATTGTGATTCGTGTACAGGGGTATTCACTATTTTTGATGAAGCAACCTTTTCACGATCTCTCTCGGCTTTTCTGCGTATGTTCTTGAGACAATGAAAATTGAGTTTCCTGTTGATATTCTTGAGTTCAGTCTCGTAGCATTTTAAAAATTGATTATTGCAACATTGCTGCTTTTTGGAATCATTCTTTAAAAAAAGAAAGTGTGCTGAACGTGACACACAAATAATTTTGAGGGAATGCTTTACCGTTTACTGTACCAGAAATAATATTATATACAGTACAGTATACCTCTCGCGGAGAATAGAATAGAATTGAATATCAATGACTTTTCACATATTTTGTAGTGACATCTGTAACAAGTTTCTCGAAACTTTTCGGCCTCAACAGGAACCCAAGGGGACGCGTTTAAGTCTGGTCGGATAACTTTGGTTCAGTCAGCTTTGCAAACATGGTTCAAGCTAGAACTTGAGTTAATTTTTGCTTGGACAGAATTCCAGATAAACGCTTATCGTGTTTTTTCTGTCAATTTTTCTTTTCTGCAAAGTTTTGGGTAATTTTCACATGAAAGCGTTTTGCCCTATTCATGTTTCTTTGTATGAAAATCATCGGTTGAGCTTGGTTCAAAAATGATGCCGGAAAGCATTCATCATAGAAATTTTTTCAACATTTCATTTGATGTGTCATCAGGCCAAAGATTACGGGACTACCGCAGCGCCCTCTACCTGGGTCGGGCCTTAGACGACGCCCGCTGCAGCAAAGACCCCAAACCACAACCCCGCCGCCTTTGGTAGAAGGTTTCTTCCGACCCCAACAACGACCCGCATTCCACATTCCATACATTCCTACCCCAAACAACAACAATAACAACAACAACAACAACTTCAGACGTCGACCAAACATGCCCCAAAATCGAATTCTTGATCGCTACGGTGAAATTCAGACCCCGACCCCAGCAGAGGAAAACAAGGTCCAAGACATTCTCATCGGGACCGGATTTTCTTTCAAAAGCAACAATGACAAAAACAACGCCGTGTCACCGTCGACTACGACGATAAACGTCTCGGTGCCAATTTCGAATACGCACAAGAAACCTAGCGGTGGAATGAGTGCTGGCATTTTGGTTGTTGAAGAAGTGAAACATGAGCCACAGTTGATTCCTATCCACTCAAGCACATCACCTTCGCCGCAGCCAATTCTGCCTGAGATTGAGAAAATATCACCTCAGGAGCCTGAAACAGCGTCGGAAGACCCCGTGAACGACGATTATTATTACTACGAGTACCCAGAAGAACCCTCAGAGGAGAATCCTGTACCGGAAGAAAGAGAAGACGAAGAGGAACCTGCTGTTACTGAGCTCGTTGAATTGGAAAATGTTTACCATCCCGAGGATCACCGGGAATATGAAGATGAAGTCCCTGAGAGGGTCATTCTCCGTCTTCAAGGACTTCTAGGACTACTACAGCTTTGCCTACCTGGAAGCTGGGGGTTCTGACTTGACGTCGAGCCCTTGAATAAACTAAGAGAGGACTGCGTTTAAGTCCCTATAAAGCCTAACTCGAATGACCGAGCCAAGTCTGACAAAAGTCAGGAAATGATGATGAACATGCAATTTCAGCAAGAGCCGGTGGATAAAGAAGCAGAAGAGGAAAAACAAAAAGAAGGAGCTGATGAGTGAGTTCATTTTCTACATTTCTTTGCACTTCGAGTCTGTGCATTATTCCAAGCCTAATGCAACTAAGATCATGACTAAATGAATATTAATGATGTATCAATCGACTTTGGATACACTTACTTCCCCAGCTGTGTTCAAATGTCGAAAACCGTGTTGTCCGTGTACCCGCGTATATTTTGCATGAGTGATTTCCAATTTACAAGAAGTGGTTGGGGGCCGGAGTTTGGCAACCCTGCTGTACATAATTGATGGGATAATGTGTACTAGACAACTGTCCAGGACTTGAGTCAATTTGGATATGCTGGAAAATTCACGGGGTTATTTTACGAAGTTGGGGTAATGAAAGTATTTTACTATCTTGCTAACATTTTTTGCAACCAGCTTAGTAGGAAATTGCTGACTTGAAAAAGCTCAAATACGATTACAAGTGGTTCATTTCAATGTGACCCGAATCCGTTGCCAAACTAGGGTCAAATTGCAAAGCAGTCAAATTGCGAGACACTTCGTGAAATAAAAAATATCAATGCAAAAACGCAAAAAAATTGCCAAAGCAGTGAACATGTTCATGCGTGTTTACATGCCTAACTCCCAAGAACAAAAATTATTGAAATCTTCATCATTCTTCAAATTTTTACCTACTCTGCCAGCTAGCGAAGATAAACTCAATTTTATGAATTTGTTGAAAAATGAAGCTTAGCACAGAATAATACAAGATTATTTCCTATACGACTGCCGTATGCACAACGATTTCTTTATTTACATTTCAGGATCGCTGTGGATGTGACAAAGCCTCCAGTCACTCAATCAACCCTCAGCAGCCAGGCAAACCAAAAGATCTCCGTCACATACTCCATCTCATCCGAGGAAAGGGACGGGTCAGTCCCTGCCCCAAGCAAGAAGAAACCCGGAATAAAACCCCAGATCCCGAGTCATCTCGCGTCTCTTCCTTACGACCCCGAAATCATCCGCGATCTTTTCGGCGTCGACATAGCATCGTACATCAAGGCATCCGGACAAGACAACCCCAAGGATGGAAACGATTCCGAAACAACCACCATGAACCTGATGAACTTGCCTCCGCAGAAGTCGTACATAAGTGGCACGTTAGCCAGTCCTCCGCCTCCGTTATGGAAAACCACTCCGGCCGTGATTTTGCCTGAACCATCTCCGACATCTTATTCCGGGTTCCGAGAGTCTCTCAGACCTCTGCCCAACAAAGAACACCGAAGGGACCCTGAAGTCGAACTCGATCCCGCACTCGACGAAGACTGGCTCAAGTTCTTCACCACTCCCAAGTCCGATTCGGGTGACATGAAGCTTGTAACGCTGAGCAAAGTTGGTGGGATTCGGTATCACAAGAGACTCGACGAAGAAGAACAGGAAGGGATAGAGACTACTACGACAACGCTGACAACGGCAACTGACGATGAAACTGTCACCGAGACCACAGAACAAACCACTACTGTCGAGATATCCATCCCAGGTAAGGTGACAAAGATCTACGACCTGTCCAGCAAAGTCAGGAAGCCACAAATCCCCACGGAGATTCAAATCGAAGGTGGTAACGTGAAAGTGATAAGCACCGTTCTTGGAGTGAACACCCGAGATCAAAAGTCGGATAATAATGAAACATCAGTTTTCGTGGTGCACAGTGAACCGTTGGACTCGGAAAAACCTTCAAGAAAGGTCATTCAAATCTCAAAACTTCCTCCTACTGTTCGAGTAGTGCAAAGCGGATCCAAGGATCAGACAACGGTGGACGAATCCGCAAAGCAGTTCGTGAACAAACTCGGCATTGTTCAAGAATTTCATTCATCCAAAAATCAGCGGCAACAGAAATCACTCTTGTCGCACTTCGCAAATATTCGCGTAGCCGCTGACAGTAAACTTATTCATTCGACTTCATCGTCACTCCCTGTGGCTCCACCGGAAGGTTCTGACAGTGGTTCATCTGCAACACCATCTCGTCAACTTGGCACAGTGTTTGAGAAGTGGTTTGGGAATGGATTTGCATGGCCGCAAGCAATCCCTGGGTTGTTCCGCGATTCACCGAAGAACAAGACTGTTGCTAATCAGCAGATGATGCTGGTCACTAAGCGTCCATCAATGGAACTCACTACAGGAACTACCCTGAAGGGATATCCGGTGAAGCCGATAGTGTTGAAGGAGAACCAGAGCATCACGGATTTGTTGGACGAGATCTTCGTGAATAAGACTACGGAGGAAGTGACAAGTGCGACTCCGACGTTGATTATGGAGCCAAAGGAAGAGTTCACTTTCGGATTCACTACTGGCCTAGGTCAATGCCCCCGATGACGCCGGCTACTATGACTCGACCTCTGGGTCGTCCTGCTCTTCAAATGAGTAGGAGTCCTTGTTAAAAACTGTTTGTGACACGTATTATCGCTACCTTCATGACGCAAGCCGGGGCCGCCAGTGGATAACACTGTTGTCTCTATGGTGACGAGTGTTTTCCATGCGTCAGGGACTGCTGATGATAATGCGAGTCTGGCCTCCGATCTTGGTGAGTCATCATGCCATCATGAAGTTCACGGTGTGCTGCTGATTCTTTCTGTACATCTCAATAAATTATTTTATAGTTATTCGGGCGACACCTAGTTAATTTTTAAAGAAAAACGGGTGAGCGTTAAAGTTCATTTCTACACGGGTCGAGTGAAGAACCATGAAAGTTGAAGATTGTGCCCGAAATCTTGATTATTTTCCGTTTTTATCTAACGTATTTTGCTGTTCATGAAAGATATATGTTTTTTCAATTTTGTGAATTAAATACGCGTGTATAGTCTCTAAAATATGGTAACAGGACAGCCGATGCATAAACTCTCAGATTTGATTATGAATGTTGACTGAATATGGAAAGATTCATATTTATAGGGTGGTGTATGTAACTACTCTACAGCGGTGTTCCCCACCCCGTGATCCGCGGGAAATTTTCTTCTGCATGATTGATTTGTAAAAATTAGCAATAAAGTCTTATCTTCATCTGGAATATCTGAAAGACAATGACAGTGTTGAATAATCTGATGAACAATTAAAGCTGGAATTTCTCCTAATAATATAACACGTCAGACACATTTTCACCCACTGAAAAAAATTATTTTAATATTAATTCTGAGAAACCTTTCCTCAAGCCCACCTTTATGATTTTCTGAATACATTCCACAGTAATACCTGCTTCATTCGTTCTTAATTGGATTTTTGCAGAACATATTCTAATAACTGCCGTAAAAAATTCTTTCAAGCAATAGTTTTTTGAGTCTGAAAAACTTTCTGAAACTTCGCCGGTCCGCGGACCCAAAAAAGTTGGGGACCAATGCTCTACACTTCTACAGGAACCAGTGATTCCATGTACTGTATGTATTTGTCCGCAGTGTGCAACGAGAAGGACCACTTCTTTTGCAAGTCGGGAGACGAATGCGTGAGCATCCACAGCAGGTGCAATCAAATGCGGGATTGCCACGATTACAGCGACGAAGCCGACTCGGATCCAGTTACGGGGGCTACTGCGGCCGATGATACTGAGCTGGAGACCCAGCAGGACGAGAAGTTTACTCATCCTCAGGAACAATTTTTGACAAACACTGTGCATAATAGCGATGGAAGTACTGCTAAGCCGGGGCCGCAAGTTGATAACACTGTTGTCTCCATGGTGACGAGTGTTTTCCATGCGTCAGGGACTGCCGATGATAATGCGAGTCTGGCCTCTGATCTTGGTGAGTCATCATGCCATCACGAAGTTCATGGTGTGCTGCTGATTCTTTCTGTATATCTCAATAAATTCTCTTATAGTTATTCGGGCGACACCTATTTAATTTGTAAAGAAAAACGGTTGAGCGTTAAAGTTCATTTCTGCACGGGTCGAGTGAAGAACCATGAAAGTTGAAGATTGTGCCCGAAATCTTGATTATTTTCCGTTTTTCTCTAATTTATTTTGCTGTTCATGAAAGATATATGTATTTTTTTTTATAATTTTGTGAATTACGCGTGTATAGTCTCTAAAATATGGTGACAGGACAGCCGATGCATAAACTCTCAGATTTGATTATGAATGTTGACTGAATATGGAAAAGAAGAGTGGAAGAATTATATGATAATAGTATTTTTTAGATTCATATTTATAGGGTGGTGTATGTAACTATTCTACAGCAGTGTTCCCCACCCCGTGGTCCGCGGGTAATTTTCTTCTGCATAATTGATTTTTAAAAATTAGCAATAAAGTCTTATCTTCATCTGGAATATCTGAAAGACAATGACAGTTGGATAATCTGATGAACAATTAAAGCTGGCATTTCTCCTAATAATAACACGTCAGACACATTTTCACCCACTGAAAGAAATTATTTTAATATCGATTCTGAGAAACCTTTCCTCAAGCCCACCTTTAGGATTTTCTGAAGACATCCCACAGTAATACCTGCTTCATTGGTTCTTAATTGGATTTTTGCAGAACATTTTCTAATAACTGCCGTAAAAATGTCTTTCAAGCAATAGTTTTTTGAGTCTGAAAAACTTTTCTGAAACTTCCCCGGTCCGCGGGCCCAAAAAAGTTGGGGACCAATGCTCTACAGGAACCAGTGATTCCATGTATATGTATTTGTCCGCAGTGTGCAACGAGAAGGACCACTTCTTTTGCAAGTCGGGAGACGAATGCGTGAGCATCCACAGCAGGTGCAATCAAATGCGGGATTGCCACGATTACAGCGACGAAGCCGACTGCACTTGCGCTGATTATCTCAGAGCCCAGTTCTTGACCAGGAAAATATGCGACGGGGTTCCCGACTGTTGGGACTTTAGCGATGAAAAGAATTGTGGTGTGTTGATGTTTATTTTCCCGCATATAGTCCGTTATGTGAAAAGATATAGATTCGTTTTTCATTCATCGTGAGGTAATCATACCGTTTAGTTGATGAGATCAAATTGTAATTATTCTATGTGAGACTTTCATGGCACGGAATCAGCATGTACAGTATTTACTCAAGTACCCCGCGAACATTTTTTTCGAAATCAAGAAAGAAAAAAATTAAGAAACGTCATAAGGTGGGCAAAGCATCATTTCCAAAAAATTGTAAAAAGTTTAGATGCGCATCATAATTTATTCTAATGGAAAATTGTGGACCGATTTTAACAATTATTGGAAAGGGAAGAATTGAAATTAAATCTAATGTACTTTAGTTTCAATTCATCTTCAAATTCTGGTGTGTCTAATTTTCAAAATACTGTATTGCAGTCCTTCAGTCAGTAAATCGGGGTGCGCGTCTTAACTCTCACTCACGTAAATACGGTATTGCATATACTGTATGTACTCTATAGGTACAATACTATACATGCTACTAAAGTACTAAGAAAGGAAGCAGAATGTTGTTCGTGCGTGGGGTTCACATGTTGATCGATTTCCTGCGGGATTTGGAAAGGGGTTTTCTGTTGCTGCCATTTTGTTTGTCATGTGCAGTACGTCTGTGACTTGTATGGAATTCTGTTATCCAAACTAATGGCTGTATATTATTGGTGATGTATATATATATGAACAGACTGGTGTGAGGAGCAGAAAGATGGCGCAGCAATGTACAATTGTCAAGAGAGTCAATTCTGTGTCAGCGAGGACAAAGTTTGCGATGGGAAATCTGACTGTCCCTTTGGAGATGATGAATCCCGGTGTGTCACTGTGTCGCCATCTTTGATTGAAGCTGACAACCCTACGTATCACTCCAGAGGTTCGTGAATGACATGGTTGAATCATGCAAGAATGCCTGCATGTATTTCTTTTCTGACTGGTTCTGACTTACTTTTTATTTCATAGGTTTCTTGATGGTGAGAAAAAGCGGGAAATGGGGTAAGCTCTGCTTGAACAACTTTGAAAACGTCGTCAGACAAGCAGACACGCACTGGGACATCACCGATTTGGGCAGAGCTGCTTGCAAGGCTTTAACTTATCAGTGAGATGACTTTTTTTGTATTCCTTCTGCTTCTACAGTATATCCCGAGAATATGCAGCATAATAGAATGTGCGTAAACCTTGTTGGTTGGTACGTGTTCGTCGTGGCTTCATCTAACGTACCCTAAAATAGCATAAAATATCCACCCCCTCATCTCGACTCGTGTTTCTGCTTTATGTTATGTTCTGTTGCGAAAAATCATCGTTTCTTTCAAGGTAGCGAGTTTTAAAGAACCAAATTACTGTACATGCGAGCGTAGAACCAGCAAATGTAGCCACTTTATCTGCAGAAACTTAGTTTCCTATATCTTTATGTATCATATTTCATGGAATTAAAACGTGTCTGAAAATTAGGGATTTCGAACTGGTTGAAAGAAGATACGACGCCCCTGCGAATGGACTCCAGCAGCAACAAGCTTTAGCTCCAACGCTGCGAACTGCTGATGCCAATTTATTCTTCCAGCTTATATTCGGTAACTCTGAGTCATCTGAAGAAACGACCGAAGACGCCTTACTCGGGAGGAGTGTGGTCAGGTGAGTGCTGCTGCTGGTGGTTGAAAACAAAGGGAAGGGTTCTTCATAATCATTGTTTTATTATGTGCTGTGTGGGCAAAACGAAACAGAGGTAGCTTGACGTACACGGAGTCCAAATGCCCGAGGAAAGACGTGCTGTGGGTTCAATGCGGTTCCCTCAAGTGTGGCAGACGCTATGGAGCGAGTTCACCCAAGCCGCACGGACCCCAGGCGCGCATTGTGGGCGGTGCTAACTCGCGCGGAGGGGCGTGGCCTTGGATAGCAGCGCTGTATAAGGAGGGCGTGTATCAGTGTGGAGGCACCCTCATGTCCCCGCAGTGGCTGATCTCTGCTGGACACTGCTTCTACCAGTCAGTGCTGGCTTTTATTGTCTCATCCCTCTCTCTTTTCAGGATTTTATATTGCCTGGCCTATTATTTTTAAAACTTGAGAGTCTAAATTTAAAGTAACATCCTGTATCTTTGATAGATTGAATGATGCCACAGTCTTGAATACTGCAGACACGGATTTTTTTTAGCCTATGTTTTTTTAAAGATATGTCTGATTTGTTTTCTGATTGAGGTTAATATTAGCAATTTTTCAATTCTGCAGTTATTATGAATGAATGAATGAACAGAACACTTTATTTGCTGCTTTTCAGCGTTCACAAGGTTCAATCAAGATTTCCACAACCACACCCCCTTCCCACCCAACCCATATCAGTTATAATTTTTTTATGTTTTGTGCTACAGATGCTGAAGTTTATATAATCAATGTAAATAAAACAGGTTCAAGTTGACAGTTTTTTTATGGTTGTTCTTTTCAAATAACTATTTTATGACAACAGTACAACAGTTTCATCAAGTTTTGGACTTTGTGCTGGTAATATCAGAATTTATTACTATAAGTACATGTGATACCTTGCATTTCAACCTCCCTCAATTTGACTGTCCCACAATTCGGAATTTTCAGGGAGGCCAACACTGACTTGCAATTTGACCCTTGCCCCAGAATTCAACCTGCTTTGACCAATTTTTTTTGCGTTGTATAGTACTCATATTTTTTTAATTTTACAAAGTGTCTCGCAATTCAACCATAGTTTGGCAACAGATTCAGGTTGTAATGCTAGGTACCACCAGTACATAGTTATGCTGATTGAAAAATAGTAACACAACAATGGATAATTTGCTTGGGCAAGTGCCATGTATGCATATAGAAAAGTGTGTACAGTATATGACATCGCATTATTTATCTATTCCAGTGCAACTGATCAATATTGGGTGGCAAGATTAGGAGCCTTGAGAAGAGGGACATCCTTGGCCTCACCTTTTGAACAAGTCCGTCACATTACTCACATCATTTTGCATCCCAAGTATGAAGACACAGGTCTGTATCATCAATTAAATTTATGATTGAAGACACTTGGGTAATTCAAACGTGATTATTGCTGCATTGAAAGGTTTCATCAATGACATATCCGTGTTGAGAATGGAAAGAGCTGTTGAGCTCACTGATTTCGTTCGACCCATTTGTCTACCACCTCCGGATCTTCCGGTTCAGACCGGAAGGATTTGCACCGTAGCAGGATGGGGTCAGCTGTTTGAAGTGGGCCGAATTTTCCGTGAGAAAGATAGCTGGAAATTATTTCGCAGTCGTAATTTTTACTGAGTCAATTTCTTTTTTTTGCAGCGGACACTTTGCAAGAGGTCCAGATGCCCCTGCTGTCCACTGAAGACTGCAGGAAACGGACAGTATTTTTCCCATTGTATAGAATCACGGAGAACATGTTTTGTGCGGGATATGAACGTGGAGGCAGGGACGCTTGCTTGGGGGATTCTGGTGGTCCTCTCATGTGCCAGGTAATCCCACCGTCACCAGCATCTATATAGGGAATAAGACTGTATTTTACTTTCAGATGCCTATACTGTACTTTGTTCACTCTATTCAGTAATGTGTACAGATATACTGTATAAGTATTTTTGTATATTTCCCATTGCGACGTAAAATCAAGGATTGTCCCAGTTCCTCTGAGAATTAAATGCAGTGCAGTGCAGTATTTCTATCTTTTTCAACAATTTGAAAAAATCTATGGATTTTGTCATTAAATTCTAGAAATCTGATATCTGTACAGATTTTCAAGACATTTTTCATTACGCTGCATGATGAGAAGGGAAAACTTCCTCTTGAGCCAGAGTTCTCCACTCAATCAACAATTTGCTGAAAATTTGTCAAAAGAGATATAATTGACATTTTTATTATTCATACAGTCGTATTGTACTCTTTTATCTCTCTTTTATTTTGTAACATTTAAATGATTTTAATGAACATCTTTTCTCAATGCAAAAAATAATTAAAAATATTAGTTAATACAAAAATTAATCAAGGAAAGATGGTTGTGGGTGCAATGTAGCGTAAGGTTAATTTTTATGTTCTTAATCTTGTCATTAAATCACTTCCAAATTTATCTGAATTTGCTGAAAAATGCCTCGCATTTCTTTAATTTTTTCCATTATGCTGTACATATTTTTTTCTTTACCAGTGCAAAGTGAAATACTAAATCATTGAAAATAACGCCTTAGAAGATATTTTGTTATGTGATGCGAAAATCCTCCTGAATAGTATCCTCTTTAAAATCCCAGAGCATATTTATTATCATGCGATGGATTCAAAATTAAACGCTGGGATTATTTTGCAATCGAATCTTACCAAAATGATGCTTAATGATGTATCATCGGCAATCCATGATTGTTTGACCTGCTCAAGGTACAATACTGTACTGTACTGTATTGCCTTTTTTTTTTTTTAGGAGGATGACGGGCGGTGGATTTTAGCCGGTGTGACGAGCAATGGGTACGGGTGTGCACGAGCCTCTCGTCCCGGGGTTTACACCAAGGTTTCTCAGTATTTGTCATGGGTGCGCGCCATCATGGAAAGTGACAACCTTCCCAAGTGGAAAACTCCCGTCTGCGAAGGCCACAGGTTAATTTCGAGTCCTATATGGATTCTTTCTTTATTATGTACATTACGTTACTTGGCTGATGCTCAACAAATGAATTTACAGCATTAATTCACTTTTGTTGATCAAACATGCCTTGTTTTGATGTCTCATATTACAGTACTGTCATATATTTGGCTGTCTTTTTCTCAATTTTATAGGCAAAGTATATTTTTTGTCTTTGGAACAGTATTGCCATTGATTGAATCTGGAAAATAGTCAATGCGAAGATTTTTGAGCAATTGGAGTACGTCGTTCAATTTTTTTTTATGGAACCTTGTATATACGGTTGTCAATTGTCATACATGGACTGTCTGTGAATTCATTGATAATGATACAGTAAAAACAAACCACCGCTGGTTGCAGACAACGGAATTCTGCATGAAATCCAAATCAGCACTTTGATTGCTCAGTTTTCTGTGTTGTATTTTCAACCCTGATGCATGCACTCAATTTCAATCAGTTATAACAACAAGAAAAAGGTTGCAATAAGGACTGGAAACGAATCAAATATCTATTTGTGAAAATTGATTTGATATCCTTCCATTTCAACTGACCAACGGAAACTCCACAAATATGAACACAATTTTTGAGCCTGCCTTTGCATATCTGCTGCAAATAAGGAAGAAATAATTTAAATCAAATGCTGAAAGCAAGCTGAAATTAATTCATACATACAAGGAAAACGAATTTCTTTGTGTGTGCCTTTATTTTTGTCAACTGAACAAAAGTAATTTTCGTCTGCTGAAGAATAATGGCGTTTGTAAAAAATAAGTTGTTGAAATATTTATCCACAGATGCCCTCTTGGAGATTGTTTGTTGAAGAAGAACTTGTGCAACGGCTTTATGGAGTGCTCAGACGGGAGTGACGAAAGGAACTGCACCAGCAGCATGCTCCAGACCTTGGAGACCCACAGTATTGACGGCCAAAATACCACCATTGCTTCAGCATTATAAGCTCAGTGACGCTGACCAGCGTGGTGCGTTGTTATTTATAAGTCTTCGACCCCTTTTATTTTGTTGCAGTTTTTATTTGTCCCCTTTTCGTGAACAGTGATGATGGAAAGCAGGTATTGCATGTAAGTGAAGTTATAGTGGATATACGTTTTGTATATTTTGGGCATATGCCAACGTTGGGCGGCAGGATACAATGTATTTTACTTGTGCTGCAAGGCTTGTGTCTCTGCTAAAAGAAGGAAGAAAGAAAACGAAGTGTGGAAAGATGAGGTTATAGAGGTTTTTGCTTTTCAATTGTTGACTGTGATATGTGATGGGAATGAGGACAAATTTTTGAGATTTGCCGCTCCAGCCAACGGATGTATACGCATTTCGGATTCAGTGTTGTGCTGTAAATCAAGGACAAGGTGCGTTTCAACGCATGTGCTTGATGCCGGGAAACCCGCTGCCAAACTGATTGATTGCAAAGACAGATGCTTCCTGAATGATTTAAGCGGTTGTGGGGGCCAATGTTGTTGACTCATTCATTGTTGACTATTTATGGAAAATAAAACGACCAGCACAAACCGAGAAAACTGCTGCTCATTTATTTTCAGTTTCATTACATCATGTATGTTTTAAGTTTCATTACATGCACTTGCCAACAGCACCACCGTTCATGTGTAGTAAAAATACATAAAAATGAGAATGCCTTTGGTTTTAATGTCTCACCCGTTCACTCGTTTCCGCCTGTCAACTTTTCGTAGTTACCACATAACACAGACGACAGGTCCTTCCACCTCGACGCCTTTTTCGACCACATACCTTCCTCCTGTCCTAAAAGACGTCTACTTCAACCAATCTTTATGCATAGAAAACTTGGTTGATCAAAAAAGGTTTGAATGAATGAGTTAAAACATTCAATTTAAAACACAAAGTTTATATAATTTCTTCCCACACACAAATACGCAACTAACAAAGGACACACAGAGCACCGCTTTGTAACCCCGCCGTCCCTTTGTAACCTTGCCGCAGCCCTTTTTCACTTCCGCCGCGCTTTGTCCGCAGGTACTTTTGATCCAATGCCCATCCCGTCGTGAGGTACGGTGAGGTAGCCGCTTTGAAGTCACTCTTTGCCAGGGTTGCTGTAGAGTAGACCTTGGATTGGGAACTGTAGGAAAGCAAAGTACACATAGAGGGCAGAAGGAGTAAGAAATGGCCGCGCCCATGGGAACGATAGTGACGTTTCCCTTGACATCCCCAAGTTAAATAGTGCCAGGCT